CCGAAATACCTTTTCCGATCTTAAATGTAACTTATTACATTTATTGCACTTCGTGCATTTTTCACGTGACCAATTACTGGGTCCCCGTGTTACATTCTGGGACTCACAGTATATATAAATATTTATTAACGTTAACAATTTTTGAAAATTTTAAACTAATGGATCTTAATAAAAGTAATCAAAGTGACAACGAAAGTAGTCAAGAAGAAAAATTACCAACTTATAAATGAAAATAAACAAACAAATTATGAAAGTGATCAAAGTGATCAAGTAGTATCATCATCTAATAATAAAAAAAAGTTGAGAATTACAAAACCAAAATCAAATTTTCAAAATTCTTGGCTTTTCGAATTTAATTGGCTTTGATATATATGATAAAATCTCTATACAAATATTTTGCAAATATTGTATACTTTATAAAAACCAAATGTTTTTGGTAGTACAAGTAAATAAATAAAATACTATAATGTATATATTGTTAATTATAGTATATTTTATTTAATAATTTAAATATTATTTAATAGGATCAAAAAACTTTAGCTGAAAGAGTGTTGTAAAGGAGCATGCTTGTTCTGATCAACATGTTGATGCATTAAAGATTGATACTGTTAAAGAAACAGTGAATGAAATATCAATTAAAATTATGCAAAGAAGTGAAATACATATACTTAGAATTTTAAAAATTGTATATTCTCTTGTAAGAGAAGATATACCATTATCAAAGCTTCCGCATTTTGTTCAACTATCATGTGAATTAGAATCTTCATTTATTACTAATAGTTCTAACTTATGAAAATGAAATATCTGGACATGAGTTTGCATTTGCAATTTCTAATACAATTAAAGTAAAATTTGAAAAGAGATTAGTGAAGCCATGTTTTTTAGAATTATGATTGATAAAAGTTCAGATATTACAATGAATAAACATCTTGGTATCTATGTGATATATCTAATTTCTTCAGAACAAATAACAACATGTTTTTGTAGTTGCTTGCACTTGAAAAATATAATGCAGCAACAATAACTACTAAATTAGTCTATTTATTTCAAAATAATAGTAAATATATATATATTTTATAAAATTTTATATTTTTATTAAGTAAATATTTAAATATATTATTTTTACAGATGTTATTGACAAACTTGTAGCATTTGCATCAGATGGTGCATTGGTAATGATTAAAAATAAAGCAATGTCACTCAAAGATTATTACAACCATGTTCTTATATTATTTATAATCACTGTATCGTATATCATTTAGCATTAGTATGTAAAGATACACAAAAACAACTTAAATGCTTTATTGATGCTGAAGCTATTATGAAAGATATATATAAATTTTACAAGAATTCTGCTCAACAAATACATGTTTTTCAAGAATATCAAAAAATTCTTGATTGTCCAGAATTACATTTAAAAAAATTGAAATATATTCAATAGCTTGGATAGTATAACACTGTAAAAAATTTTATAGAAAAATTACTTGC